TCCGGTGACCAAAACGGGACTTCCCATATATAAATCTTTACCTCCGGACCATTCCAGAACTCCTCGTGACGTCCGAGATCTCATCCAGGACTCCGAACAACATTCGGTAACCGCGTACATACTTTCCCTATAACCCTAGCATCATCGAACCTTAAGTGTGTAGACCCTACAAGCTCGGGAGTCATGCAGACATGGCCGAGACAACTCTCCGGTCAATAACCAACAGCGGGATCTGGATACCCATGTTGGTTTCCACATGCTCCATGATGATCTCATCGGATGAACCACGATGTCAAGGATTCAATCAATCCTGTATACAATTCCCTTTGTCTATCGGTACGATACTTGCCCGAGATTCGATCGTCGGTATCCCGATACCTTGTTCAATCTCATTACCGGCAAGTCTCTTTACTCGTTCTGTAACACATCATCCCGTGATCAACTCCTTGGTCACATTGTGCACATTATGATGATGTCCTACCGAGTGGGCCCAGAGATACCTCTCCGTTACACGGAGTGACAAATCCCAGTCTCGATTCGTGCCAACCCAACAGACACTTTCGGAGATACCCGTAGTGCACCTTTATAGCCACCCAGTTACGTTGTGATGTTTGGCACACCCAAAGCACTCCTACGGTATCCGGGAGTTGCACAATCTCATGGTCTAAGGAAATGATACTTGACATTAGAAAAGCTTTAGCATATGAACTACAAGATCTTGTGCTAGGCTTAGGATTGGGTCTTGTCCATCACATCATTCTCCTAATGATGTGATCCCGTTATCAACGACATCCGATGGCCATGGTCAGGAAACCGTAACCATCTATGGATCAACGAGCTAGTCAACTAGAGGCTTACTAGGGACATGGTGTTGTCTATGTGTCCACACATGTATCTGAGTTTCTACCAATACAATTCTAGCATGGATAAATGATTATCATGAACAATGAAATATAATAATAACTAATTTATTATTGCCTCTAGGGCATATTTCCAACATATCTTCCTACCTTATGTTTTGGAGATTGTTGACAGAAACAGGTATGGACTAATTTGTTTGCTAGTGCACATAGAGAGAAAAGGACATACACAACCGAAGAGAATGTTGTCTTCGGTGCTGAGTTTGAGGAACTTCACCGAAGCATATCTGCACTGCAGAGAAGAACAAGCTACATCTATTGAAGTGATATAGTTGAGAAGCTTTTGTTTAGATACTATCATCCGAAGAAATTCACTAATGTGATTGAAGTCGAAGATAAAGTGAAGATGTAGCAATCATTTTGTTTTTCTTCTTTCAGTCTGTTGAGTCATAGGACCTCTGTACTATTAAGAGGGGTATAGGTTCTCGATGCTTAGATCAGTTGTGATGCTTCGCCTCAACCTATGAAAGTTGTGAGAGAAATCTCCTTGTGTTTCGAGTAAATACTTGCCAGCAAGAGAATGTGATCTTTTTCGTTGCGAGAGATTTGCCTTGGACCGAGTAGTTAGCATTTCTTGCTCTCCTAGGAATGTTACCGTTGTGCTTAAATCCGACCGTTGGAATCGTGTCGTTAGGCCATTGGCGGAGGCCGATGTTCAATTTTGTCATTTCCCTTCTAGGAAGGGTACGACAATAAATAGCCACCCGGCTCCAACATTTTCCGTTGGCTACTCCGCTTGAGATTACTGAGAAGATTGACTTGAGCAACCCTCTCCGAGTGATTTGAGTTTAAGATCCACTGAGAGAAAACCAAGAGCCCAAACTTAGACATTGGTTTAGCATCACAGTAGTTATGAGTGAGAGTTCTTGTACTTGTTACTCCTGAGAGCTGAGCACTCTCTAGACGGTTAGGTTTGGCTTCGAGTGTTAAAGAGTTATTGCCTTTACCAAGATTGATCTTCAGCAATCAAGAGTGATTGTGGTTTGCGATGGTCGGCCGAAGGTTTGGAGATCACTGACAAGGATTTACCACGAGTGAAATCAACCTGAGTCTGATCAGCTCTACGTTGAACGCGAATAGGGTGAAGGGAGTTTATCTTTCGTGTTAAGTCACAGCCCCTCCAACTAGACGTAGCCCTTTGGCAGAAGGGTGAACTGGTCTACCAAATCTCTTGTCACCATCGAGCACCACTGGTTATATCTATCTTACTGCATTTCATTCAGTAATTTTCATTCGTGTTATGTGCCATTTGATTCTCTGATCTTTGTATTGTTATGTGATTCTCATCCTGTGTACTCGTGTTAATTACTTTCATTATCCTCGCCTATATCTCTTCGTTGTTAGTCTATGCTACCCTGTGTATCCCTCTTGTTGCATTTCCTTCAGTTTCAGTCATGTTTTGCCTCATTCTGTTCCACATGTTTGCTTGTTGCATAACCCTCATCATTATTAAACCCATTATCAATCAAGATCGCTCTATTGTAAATGTTTTCCTTGATGAATATGCCTCTGATGAGGAATATTGATTCAGTACTTTTCTCTCAATACTTTATTCCGCTGTTGTGTCTTGGTTAAGTTTCAAAGCTTTCGAAAGAAAATTTGAATCTCCCATTCAAACCCCCCCCCCTCTGGTCGATATACTCTCTGTCCTAACACATTTTATCATCTATACTTGTTTTGTAGCTTGACGATGCAACCCAGAGGGCGGAAGATACGTTCGGTATGTGTGGATGTGTCTGGGGCCTCTACATTTGGATGTGGGAGAGAATCCCGATGGGGCGTCCGGAGAAGCTGCGACGGTGTGAATGGACTGACTATGGTGAAGATGACGAAGATGATCGATACTCGACCATCGCATACGCTTGGGACATGGTGGGTGTCTACACGGGCACATCCAAGGCTTTGTACAAGGTCTTCACAAACGAGCTTGATGCTCTGACGCCTTTCCAGGTATACAAACTAGATTATGAATATTTTTGCCAACACTTTCACGTGAGCTTACCAATTTTTATGTACTAGGTTAATTGGTGGCCGTATGATGAACGAGGGTGGCGGTTCGAGCTGAACGTGGTGTGCAAGCAAGACAGGCTTCTCTGGCGGTGCATCATGCCCATGATTTGTATCTATGTCGTCGAGTACCACTTGCAACATCGCGTGGTCGCGCAATTTGGTAAGGCGTAACGCACCCCACCGGGCGATCTCATCGACACTGGTGGCTATGACCTACACTTGTGAGTGCATTGTTCTCCATTTCTGTGTTTTATTTTGATGTTTTACATTCCTTCTTATGATGTTCTACATCTTTCTTATGTCTTGCAGGATGAGCAGGCAGAAGAATCAGTCGATCATAGACTTGAAGAGCAACATGCCAAATACGTGAAGGAATGGAACGAGCGGAGAACTCGCAAATATGTGGAGAGGAATGTGATAGACTGCGATGCCTATGAGGATCACATGCGGTGGTACGACGATGGCATCAAGCATCGTTTGCGCCTGAGGCCCCAGTAGATGACAGCATATGCTGAAGAACTGTACGATGATGACTCCGAGAATGAAGCCTACAATGACATCATCACAGAGCTAAAAGGCGGATTTAGGGAGTATGTGCCCCTGATGAACAGAATAGTAAGTTGTGTTCATGCGTTTTCAACCAGCGGTTGGATGAAATATACTTTAGTGATTGTGACTCATCTATTCTCTTGCAGTCTTTGGAGCTGAACAAAAGCATTTTTGAAGGCTCAGATGCACTAAGTTCTATCCCCCAGACTCAAGATGGTGAGAAGAAGTTGAGGGGAACGGTGAAGGTAAAATCAAGACTCCTACACTTACATATTATGTTCATGTTCGTTTGTAACCATAAGCTTGATCCATATTATGTTCTTGTTTCATTCTTATTGCAGAAGTTCGTCAACAAATGTCGCAAACTGGTGGGCCTGCTTGGGTGCGCTAGCTCTGCTGATGCTTATGATCCTGCAGCCCCAATGCATAGCCTCGCTTCATCTAGCCATGCTGCCTCGTCGTCTAGGGTGGTTGAAGAGGAGGACGAGGAGGAGTACGAGGAGAAAGAAAGTGAAGATGAAGAAGAGGACGAAGAGGGAGCAGAAAAAGAACAAGAGGAAGAAGAGGAACAGAGCAATGAGGAGGAGGAGTACGATGACGATGACGGACCTCCACCAACTCAGACAACCCAGCATGAGAAGAGGCATTGGGCAAGTCCATCCCCGTTTCAGAGAGTGCGTCCGACTCAGCGCAAGAAGAAGGTGTATGAGAACCATTCAAAGAACAACGAGGACCGTACCTTGAAGAGAGGAAGGACCAAGTGAAGTTGCTGCCGTTGAACTAGTTAAACTTTTTATGTTGGCTTCATGAAACTATTTTGTATTTGTTGAACCATTTGCTATGTGAAACTATTTGCTACATGTGTGGATGTGTGCTATGTGTCTTAGTTGAACTATTATTCATATGGAGCTGTGATACATGCTTATTGTTTTTAAGTCTATAACATTGCTATGGCAAAAAAATGAAGACAAAATACAAGTTGTGTGCAAAAAATGCACTATGATCAAACCCTACCGCCACAGAGCTCGGCGGTAGGCGGCCTCACTCATACTGGAACCAGAAGTCGCTGTTGTTTTGCGGTAGGGTTGCACACCCTACTGCCGAGTTTCATGCCGGTAGGGTTGCACATCCTACCGCCAAATTCGCCGGTGATAGATCGTCTACCATGTCAGCGTTGTGACGTTAGGAAGACGGCGGCTATGGTTACTCCATCGTCAAAAATCCCTGGCGATAGAAAAAGGATCAAATGTTAAAAAAAATTGAAACAGGGTCGTATCCGGTTAAACTGTTTGAAAAGGGTCCAAACACGAAATTTAGCCCTCAATGATGCGTCGCAGTAAAAGCTCGCGCGTCAGTAGACGAGAGCTATAGCGGAGGCTACACGCCGACAGCGGGCTACTTCTATTCCATTCTCTTCAGCCTCGTAGCCCCACTCACTCACCGGCCCTAGCTTCCCTTCTTCTTCGTCGTCTTCTTCTTCTTCCTATCTCATTCTGTCTGCTCTTCTCCGTGCTGAACCAGATGGCGGTAAGTGTCCTGTGACTGACTGTGAGCCAGCCAAGGCATCCATGCCAGCAAGCTCACTCACCCAGAATCGGAGTCCTTATTATCGTTCGGTCTTGCAGAAGGCGAGGAGGCGTCGCGTGCCGGCGTTCGGGGAGTGGAACTACAACTACCACCACGACGAGCCGGAGGCGACAGCGGCACTTCCGCCGGCCGCGTGCAACGCCACGCCGGAGCCGGAGGCCTGCAGCGACGTGTGGTTCAGGTACTCGCCGCCCCCGCGCAAACCCACGCCCAAGAAGCAGGCGAGGAGGCGGCCCGAGGGCGACGTGTCCCGGGAGCGTTCCAAGGCGTCCAGGGACGCCGCCGCGGCCAAGAGCGGCGGCTCCAGGCGGGTGGTGCGGCCAGTCAACGGGGACCTGTACCAGGTGCCACCGCCGGAGCTCGCCCCCCACCGGGCGCCGAGGAAGGTACCGCACGGTCCACCAAGAAGAAACAATGTTTTCATTTTTGCCGCGTGGTTGGAGCTCACTGGACTGTTTTGCGCAGACAGGGAGCCTGTGGATGGGATGCCTGGGCCTCAGCTCATGCGTCCACTGAACCCAACATGTCCTGATGGTCGATGGGATGCTGCGTCCTGCGTGCGTCTTCATCGCCAGTGTTTATTTGCCCTTTCTGTTGGATATACACTACTAATCCCGTCCAGTTGGTAATGTAGGTGGTTCTAGAACCTCGAAGTAATTTTTATTACGTTCATGTGCTTTGTATTTCCGGTGAAGTTTGATAATAGTAGATCTAAATCATTTTCGCAAAAAGAAGAAGTGTATAGTTCCGTCTCTCTCCGAGTGTATGCGCTTTCTTGGCTTGTGGTTAGTACGCACTGGCAACACTAGCTGTGTAAGTAACATTCATGGTAACATTTAGAATCTCCCTTCATTTTGTGTAATGTGGCAACACCTCGTTTTGTGCGGTTAGGCCAACTCCACCGTGCGACCCTATCCTGTCCGTCCTCGTTCATTTGGGGTAAAACGGACAAACCAGAAGGCCCAGCGCGCGACCGTAAAAACGGACATTTGTCCGCTTTGTGTCCGTTTTCGGCCCATTCGCGGCCCAAGTTTGCGCCGGTTTTGGGGTGAAACGGACAGCACGCGGACGGGCGGGACGCCCGCGCTTGTCCTCCCCTGGCCCGCCTGTCGGTGGGAGAAACCAAATCCCCCCACGCCCATTTGGCGTCATTTTCCACAAACCCTCCCACGTCCCTCCCGCCCACCCCCTCTCTTCCTCGTCCATGGCCGACGCCCCGCCGAATTCCGGCGGCCTGGCCGTCGACCCGCCCACAATGGTGAAGAAGAAGGCGGCCAAGGCGCCAAGGAAGCCGCGGTCAGAGTGCACGCCGGAGGAGATCACCAAGTTGGACGCGGAATCGGCAAAGGG